TTGCCAGGCTTGTTATGTTTTGTGTTCTTTTGCTGTTACCTTAATCTAACCAGAAGAATACCCAAGAGCAGAAAGCCCTCCATAAGCAGAGTCGGATTGCATTCGGCCCTGGCTCGCGCCATCGCTTCGTCCTTCGGTAGCTTTGGTTCGGGCGTGCACGTGCAAGGCTCGTAACCGAATTCCTCGTTTGCCGCGGCCACGGCTACTGCGCTCCGAAGCACCCGTCCCGGACGCTCGGCCTGGGGCTTGCCGGCCGCGCTTGACCAGCTTGCAGTAGGCCTCCCGCTGCGCCTCGGAGGCGTTCTGGAGGAAGCGGTTCTTTCCCGTGGAGAGGCCGTTGCGCGTCGCCTTTTGGGGGTTCAGCAACAACAAATTTGGTTTCGTCGTGGCGTTCGCCGAAGCGAGCGTCAAGTTTAGTTTAGTAGCAAAAAAGGCGAAGTATTTTTGTCACCCTCGCAAGCCTGGGCCTTCTTCAGGGCAGTCTGCAAGCGGTCGTGCTCCTTGCCCGCCTCCTCCCAAGCGGTTGCCTCGCCCTCCTTTCTCCCCTGCGCCCGGGCAGTGCGCGCTGTCTTTTTCAGCGCGTTGCGGTCGGCGTCTGCCTCGCCCAGCAAGTTGTCAAGTTGGTCGTTCTTTTTCTTCAGCTTGTCGAAGGCCTTGCGCGCGTTGTCGGCCAAGTTCAGTGGGGAACCCAAAGGTTTCAGTGTTTGCTGTTGCGCTGCCGTTTTGTGCGGTTGTGTTGTTGTTATTGTTACGTCACCTACATGCGTAGATGGCGGTTTTGGTGGGATGGCACCGCCGTTGTGTTCAACTCGTCGTTTTGTTTTTTTTGGAATGTTGTTTTTGGAAGCTTACATAACGAAATACATACTCTGGGATGGTGGTGGTGTACATTCAGATCCGCAGCAACCGTCTGCACGAACACGTCGCGGCGCTGGTGGAAAGCCTCCTTTTTCTTGGCCTTCAACTCACTGTGAAGTTCCGCCTTCCTCTGCTTCAACCACTTCATGGTGCCACGGATCTTGTAGACCTGTTCCTGCGCTGCTTGCTTGAGGTGCTCCCTGACCCACGGTTTCTTGAGCCAGTTGCCGATCGACGCCAATCGTTGCGGTCTCGGCAGTTCTCCCTTCTAGTCCTCCGTGCTTTACTCGAAGACGCAGGCATCGTTGCACTGAGCAGCCAACAAAGCTAACAAAACAAACGATTTTGAAGCCAGCACGGCTACGTATGAAAAGGCCGGAAAATATTTAGGCCATGGAACAACATCGCCAGGAATACATCACTAGTGTGTATGAGCCAATCCATGTTCGTTATCATGTCGATCATTGTTTTCCCCGTGACTTTCCCGACCCTCTCCCTCTCCAAATGTTCATTGCTCGCCAGTTCCTCAGCATCCTCCTCATCATCTCCCTCTTCTAGCCATCAATCTCATCATTCGTGCCCTCCTCATCCTCATCTTCCCCGTATTCTATTCACCCGAATCCTCATATTCTTTTGATTTGTTCCTCATTCTCCCCATCGTCATTCTCATCCTCATCTTCCTCAGCCTCCTCCTCCTTACATCCTCTCCTTCTTTTTCACCCGCATCCGAATGACCATCATCGTCGTCATCATCATCGCCATCGGTATGGTATACATGTTCCTCCTCCTTCTCTTCCTCCTCCCGCTCCTTCTCCACATCATCATCCAATGGGCGGTCCCAGAGATGAGAACACCGCCAGATGAACGACACTTAACACCCTCAGATAGCAACTCTCGCATACTACATCACTGACGAAACGGTTGCAGCAGGGGCTCGGCTACAAGAGACGTCGCAAGGAACCAAACCTTGACACCAGGGAGGGCCTCGACAATATATCAAAACATCGACTGCTACTCCTCTTCTCCGTCTGCATGTCCTCATCGTCCTTCCTTCCCCTGTATCTCATCGTCCTTCTTCTTCTTCTTCTCCTCATCCTTCCAGCTCGTATCTTATCCTCCTGCATTTCCTCCACATCGTCCACTTCTTCTTTTCCTGCTCCTCGTAGTTCGTATGCATTTTTTATTGCTATCCTCTTCTTCCTCCTCCTCCCCCTCCTCGTACATCTCAACGACATGCGTTAGAAAACAGAAACGATGGCAGATCACAGGAGCGGCCCCTATCACATACACACATATATATATATAGAGAGAAAGAGAGAGAGAGAGAGAGAGAGAGAGAGAGAGAGAGAGAGAGAGAGAAAGAGAAAGAGAGAGAGAGAGAGAGAGACAGAGAGAGAAAGAGAGAGAGAGAGAGAGAGAGAGAGAGAGAAAAGGAGAGAGAACACTGTCGATGGGGTGGCATGCCCTTTCTATTCTCAGTGGATGGTGGCATGGCCACTTCCTCTCCCCACAAATCGGAGGAATGGTAAGCGACACCACCACCACCATCACCATCACCACCACCACCATCACCATCACCACCGCCACCGCCACCACCACGACCACCACCAGCAGTAACACCACCACCAGCAGCAGCAGCAGTACCACCACCACCACCACCACCACCACCACCACCACCGCCGCCGCCGCCGCCACCACCACCACCACCACCACCACCACAACACGCGGGCCGTCTCCGGCGAGGAGGTCCACGATGCATCCCCGATTTGGAGACTGGAGGCGTCTTCTGCGGGACGCCGCAAATCACAGGGACCACATGACCAGGACGACCTCTACGCTCTCTACGCTCCTCGCGGTGGTACGCCGATTTTCTACACTCCCGCGCAGGTTTATTCGGGGAAGCGGTGACGTGACGTACCCCCCCACACACACACGCCACTGTTCGACCATAGAGGAAACGTGCTCGTAGCCGCCACACACTGTCCACCCCCAGCCACAGCTCTGTTCACCACGGAGCGCCGCTCCAGGCCCCTCAACAGCGAGCGGCCACCCTGGCCCGCGGGTGGCCCACCCTGCCCACCCGGGCAGTGGGGGCCTCCTGCGGCGCCGCAGTCTGGCTGGTCGACGGCGCGCCGCCCCCAGCCCCACCGCATAGCGTACAGCGTGCTGCGCAGCCTGCCGCCGCCGGCGCGGCCCCGGCGCTGCCGCCCCGCCTGCGGGGTTCCTGCAGGCGGGGCGCTGCTCCTCCCTGTTCTCCTCCCCCCCCCCCTGCCCGCTCTCCCTCCCCCCGCGCGCCGCGAGGGCGCCCGGGCTTGTGCCTGCAGCCGCCGCGCACGGGGACCTGGGCCGGGCCTTGCCGCCCGCCCCCCCCCCCCACGCTGGCCCAGGATTTTGCTGGATGCGTGCCACCCTGGATGCAGCTCTACTTGCCGCGCCTCCTGCGCACCCACCTGGGCGGCGCGCGGCCCGCCGACCTTGCGGTTTGTGCTCCTTGTCGGCTTCGTGATGTTTTGACTTGCAGTGTCCGTACTGGGCCCCGCCGCCGCTGGAACCCCAGCGCAGCAGCCGCGTCAGTCCCCGCTGGCGGGGCTGGCCGCGCCAGCACACCCGTGATCCGTCCCCCCTGAGTGGCCCTTTTCCCCCCCCCCCCCCCCCTGCGGCCGCCCGCTCCGTCCCTCCTCCCCCTCTGCATGCTGGCCAACTCGCTACAACGATGGCCCCGTTTAGTTCACCTCTTTCGCCGGCGCAGGCGGCCCCTGCCGAGCCGCCGACGCCGTTTGCGTGGCAGCCTTTCCGTTGTGTTCAGAGGGTTCCGCCCGTGGCGTGCGCGTCTCCGCATCCGCAGCGTTTCGTGGCGCCGCGTCGAGACCAAAGCAGGGGCAATGTTCTTTGTGAGTCTTCTTGGAGCGAGCATTCCGTTTTGCAATCAAGTCAGGCCCTCAACAAGTTGCAGTTGGGCTACCCCGCGAGATTCGTGCATCAGCCATGCGCTCACGCCGTACCCGGGCCTTCAGGGCTCTCCATGGCACGTTGGACGGCTACCCGCGGTCGTAGTTGATGCCCCAGTGCCAATGTGATGTTGACGTAATTGTGACGATGACGTTTGTCATGATGGTGTTTTAAAAAAGATTCACGCTGCTTGTTTCTGTAAAAGGTGTTTGATGCCGACAGTTTGTGTGATGACGATCGCCATGGTAGTCGTCATGAGCATGTGATTACGTCGACGATGACGACGCTGACGGTTACATTCATGGGTTGGGTGAGCACGAAAGATGCGACGAATAACGTTAATAATGCGACGACGACGGTGCCATCAAACATGCAATCGACGTTGTAGTTGAGGCATTTGATCTAGCAAGTATGGGGGAGGCCGAACATTGAACAGGGCGTCGGTCACAGCAACTTTCTCAATTTTGTCGGTTTGTTGGGTCTTTGGGGGTCATCTGGGCTATATTCGGTGGTGGACAGAACCCCCACCCTGACACGTCGATTCGTGAATTGTCTGTTTTCGGTTCTCGAGAGGGCGCCGCGGCCGTCATTTTCCAGGCTTGCGCCCGCCAGGTTTGGGCCCGAGGTCGTTTTCACTAAACCACGTTTTGCTAAAGGGGGTTTTGTCTATTGCCGATATACGCTGGAACTGCCAACTCTTCCGCCCGCACTTCCATTTCTCCTTCGATTGTGCTCGCGGGGCTCATGCGCGGGTGCCGTCCACCAAGTTGGCCTACGCGCGCGCTTTTCGTGTGGATGTCTCGTGGGGCGCCTCCTGGGGCCTCAGGGCATCTTGAAGAGGTCTTGGAGGATTTGGGAGCTTGCTGAGTCATCCTTGGGATGGTTTTTGGGCGTCTTGCAGCCGTTTGGGGCGGTCTTGCGTGCATTGGAGCCGTCTGGAGGCTGTAGGAGTGCTTCAGAGCAAACTCACAGGGGTGGTGATTTGGAGGTTGCGCGCTACGAGGTGGGGGTGGGGGGATCCGCCTTAGCCAACACCGAAGAAGCCCTACCATGCAGCAGACAAGCCTAACGTGCCGAAGACGCGGTGGCGGATCATCATCGTCTTATCCAGTTGGGCTCAAACCGTAGTCCAGGATCCTTCGTTGCCCGTGCAAATCGATCCTGTTGAGCTCCAGGATTGACGCGCAGCAAAGATGGCCATGCGCTTGTGTGCTGTTGTTTTCTTGTGTGTCCTCGTCCAGGCAGATGCGATGGCGCCATGGAGCTCAGACAATATGAGACACAAGGGCGATGCCGACAAGAAAACACAGGCACAGAGGGCGAGTGAGTTGCACTCTTTCCAGGCGGAGTCCAGCCAGATGGATGCCTGGCTGAGCGGCAATAAGACGAGCTTGAAGATCAGCAACGACACGCTGCGCAAAGCAGTCTCACAGCATGAACCCCTGGCGAAACAGATCGAGGACATCGAGGACAGTCTGCAGAGGGCTCAGAAGGACCTCATTAAGAAGAAGGATGCAGTGGTGGCCGCCATCAATGCGACGGACAGGACTCGCCAACTGCTCGTCCGCGCACGAGCTGCGCTCGCGGAGGCGCGCGAGGAAGTCATCGAGGCGAACGCTTCTGCGAAATCCGCCTTTGATACAGAGGCGATCGCGGAGGACCACCTCGTGCAGATGACCATCTGCTGCCCCGACCAGGTGCAGGCCGCAAAGCACAAGATGGACCTCCGCAAGGATGACCTCGCCGCTGCCGGCGAGGCGTTCCACGCGGCGAAGGACAAGCTTGCAGCGAAACACGAGGCCGCCGTGTTGGCCGAGAGAGCCTCGCACAGCGCCGAGGAGGAGCTGGACCGATCAAAGGGGGCCTATCAGGACGCGGTGGGCGCGGTGGAGAGACTGGCAGCAATCAAGCTGGATCTGAGCAAGAAGAATGTGGACCCCGAGAAGCGACTTGCCGCGTTCGAGAGAAGTGTCGAAGTGCAGGAGGGTCTCGTGCATGGCCTGGAGAAGAGCAGCCAAGAGCTCCATGAAAAGGTCCACGTGGCGAAGAAGATCTACGACGAAATCAGCGCCGTCGTGGGCAAGGACCTCGAGTGCGTCCCGCTACTCCGGACCCGCGAGAAATACCTGAACGTGACCACCACTCGGTTCGATCTGACCGCGAAGGCTTACGCGAACACCCCCGTGAACGTCAGGACTTCCCTGCAGCCCACCTTGTGGCAGCAGCGGGACCAGAAGGAGGCCGCGGCACGCGCTCTGTACGATGTCCAGAAGGACTGCGCCCCGGCATCCGTCAGGCTCCCGCCGCCGCCCCCCCTGCCAGCCTGCGACAGCGACACCGGCGCGCGCTGCAGGGTCCTCGATTGCTGGGCATCCCGGAAGAGAAAACACGCTACGAACATGAACTTCCGGAGGCCCGCGTGCTTTTTTTTGGATCGGCGCTGGACTCCCTCTGGCGGCGTATCCTGCGCCGCCCCTGGCGCGCTCCGCGCGCCAGGGGAGGGGGCGCCCAGCGCCCGCCCAAGAAGTCCGCGCGGACCTCCCGAATTCTACGCTCGTGCAGTCCTTTCTTCTTCGGGCGTCGCGCAACGCCTACTGCTCGGCGTCCTGGCACTGCCTCTGCCCCGCCGGCACCTGCGCCAAGGATCAGGAGGGAAAAAAACACACAGACACAACTAATCGTCGATTCCCAGGAGAAGATGGGAAAGTATGGGAAGTGGGGGGAAGACGAAAACCCAGAAAACATGGGATATTATGCTGAATCCTGTCATTTGTGCGTATTTCTTTGTGCGTCCTGGGGCCCCTTCAAAGGACGGCGCCTGCGTGGACCGCGGCGCGCCGGTCTCCCTGGCGAACCCGCCGGCGGAGCTGCACGCCGGGCCTGCGGACGTGGGCGCTGCACTCCTCGCGGCGGCCGCCCTGGTGGTGGCCGCCGCCGCCCTGGCGACGCGCGGGCGCCGGGCGCCCGTCAACATGTCGGAGGACGCCCTCGGCTGAGCACCGAGGAACACAGATCGGCACAAGCATGCACTTTCTTGTGGGGCTCCGCGCGGATCTCTTGGATCGGCGCTGGGCCCTCGGCTCGCTCCAGGGGGGGGGGTCAGCGCCGATCCGAGAATTCCGCGTGAAGCTTCAAAAGTTTCTGCTTGTGCAGCCCTTGCTCTACAGCTGCCCCGCGGCCGCAGGCGTCTCCCTTCCACTTTGGCAGCCGCCCCGGGCGGTGTCGCCGCAGGTGCCAGGCGTCCATCGTCCGTTCGCATGCGCTTCTGGAGGTCCGCGCGGATATTGTTTTTGAGCTGGCGCCCGATCCCTCCCCCCGGAGGCGCGGCCGCCTTTGGCGCGCTTCGCGCGCCTGAGGAGATGTCGGGGACAACGTCAGCAGCCTGGTCGCTGGGCCTATACTCTAGCGTTGGCGCCCAGCTAGTCCATCTTGGCCTGATCCACAACGTTGACGTCGTTGTCGCTCTCCTCGCCTCTTCCTCTTTCTCCTCTTCCTCCTCCTCCTCCTCCTCCTCCTCCTTCTCTTCTCCCAGCACCCAGCTCCCCAGAAGCCCCCAGAAACCGCTGTCTCTCTGCTCTCCCGCCTCCCGGCCCTCACCTCGCCCTTGTACTTTGTGTGTGCGTGTGTGCGTGTGTGTGTGTGTGTGTGTGTGTGTGTGTGTGTGTGTGTGTGTGTGTGTGCGCGTGTGTGTGTGTGTGTGTGTGTGTGTGTGTGTGTGTGTGTGCGTGCGTGTGTGTGTGTGTGTGTGTGCGTGTGTGTGTGTGTGTGTGTGTGCGTGTTGCGTGTTTGTTTGTTTGTTTGTTTGTTTGTTTGTTTGTTTGTTTGTGTGTGTGTGTGTGTGTGTTTGTTGTGTGTGTGTGTGTGTGTGTGTGTGTTTGTTTCTTCTCTCTCAGTGTGTAGAGAGATATCTAAGCGTACACAGTTTTGTTGAATCGCGCAAACATTTATATTCTCACACACATGTGTACGTACCACTCGATGTGCACGTATCACGTGCACACATCATGTCTGTAAATAGATGTCTGTACATACATGTGCATGTATTACCATCTATCGATCTATACTGGTTTTGTATACGTATGTGTATGTACATGTATTTCTTTAGATGCACAAGCAAATGCTTACTTTCACATGTGTGCGTGTACTTGAGCTTATGCAGGTCTATCAGCATCTCTGGAATGACATGTGTGTAGTCATGCGGTGTCGGTGAGCCCTCAGATGGTCTGGAACTCGCTTCGCCCACTCTGAGGCAGCCCGATCAGATCACGAAGAAATGTGAGACGTGCGGCCGACGTGTGCACACGCAGGCCGCTCGGCCTCAGTATCTCCCCCTCCCGAGCAGATGAAGAGGAAGAGGAGGGTTCTGTTGTGGGGTTCTGGGGGTTTTGTGGCGGGCGTCTCGGGTCCTCCTCCTCCTCCTCCTCCTCCTCGTCTTCCTCCCCTCCTCACCCTCCTCACCCTATGCGTGTGTGTGTGTGTGTGTGTGTGTGTGTGTGTGTGTGTGTGTGAGAGTGAGTGTGTGTGAGTGTGGGACTGATTGCCTCCACCCGACTTTCTACACACCGTCGCCGCGCGGGGCCGCGATGGCAATACAAATATACACATATGATATAGGCATGTGCTTGTTTGTATGTATGTATGTTTGTTTGTTTGTTTGTGCGTGTGTGCGTGCGTGTGTTGCGTGCGTGCGTGCGTGCGTGCGTGCGTGCGTGCGTGCGTGCGTGCGTGTGTGTGTGTGTGTGTGTGTGTGTGTGTGTGTGTGTGTGTGTGTGTGTATGTGTGTGTGTGTGTGTGTGTGTGTGTGTGTGTGGGGCGCGTTCGTGCGTGCGTGCGTGTGTGCGTGTGTGGGTTCCGAGGTCTTTGAGGGTCCTGAGTCATGCTCCTCCTCCTTTTCCTCTTCTTCCTCCTCTCCCTTCCGCTCCCCCCGCCCCTCCTGCACCTCGCCTGCTTCTCTTTTTGCAGCTTGCACAGTATGAGCCCTAACCTCCCCCCTCCCACTTTCCCCACACATGTTTTCAGCCACCGATTTTTGTTGCTTTTTCCATTCGGGCCGTCTTCGGCCCTTCAGCTACAGAGCTGCAGCGGCATTTCAGGACCGGCGCTGAGCTCCAGGCGTTCATGTTTGCGCTCTCGCCCCACCACACTTCCTGCATCCGATTCGCTCCTCGTCGTTGCTGTCCCCCTCCTCTGCCTTTCCCTGCCTTCGCCTGACCCTCCTGCTCCTACTCCGCCGGCCCCTGCGGCTCCTTCTTCCTCACCGTCATGCTCATCATTTGGTTTTTCCTCCTGCCCATCCTCCTGCTCATTCGCCACTTCTCCTCCTCGCCCAATGGTCACAGCCCCCTTCTCTGACCACGCATCACACGATGGGGTCATTTGAGGGGCCAACGTCATCTAGGGCATCCCAGCCAGCGGATCCTCCTCTTCTCTTCTTTCGCCTCTTCCCCATCATCCCCCCCCTCTTCCCCGTCCTCTTCCCGGGCAGCACCGAGGCGAACAACGTCTGTTCACTACAGGCAGAGCAGAGGCAGGTGTCGCTCCCCCTCGATCGGGACCACTTTCGCTACTGCATGCTCGTCGAGAGAGCTGCGCCCTTATCAAAGGCTCTGGCTGGGTGCAGCAGACACAGGTTGCACAGAAAGAACTGAAACTAGGATGGGGCATCCAGAGGCTCGGGCCCCAGGAAGCGGTGCATGGGTCTGTCCCCCCCCCCTAGCGCTCCCCTTTCCTCTCCTCTCCCTGCCCCCTCCTCCCCTGTCCCTTCGCGACGCGCTCCCGAGCCGAGAGAATATTGCAGGTTGGACACAGACACAGGACGCCGCCTGCACTCTTGGGCACGCCTTTCTTAAGTATGTTCATCGCCATCGTCATCATCAGCGTCGCCATCAGCGTCAACACCACCACCGTCATCATCACCGTCACCATCACCATTGCCATCACCATCACCATCACCATCACGAGCATCATCGTCACCATCATTACCATCATCCTCATCATTAACATCATCATCATCACCAGCATCACCATCATCGTCATCATCACCACTGTCACTATCACCACCATCACCACCATCATTGCCTTCATCACCATCACCATCATCATCACCACTATCAGCACCACCATCGCCACCATCACCATCACCATCGTCATCATCACCATCATCTTCGGCACCAGCATCATCGTCATCATCACCATCATCATCATCATCATCATCATCATCAGCAACAGCATCGTCATTGTCATCGTCATCATCAACGTCATCATCACCAGCCTCCTCACCAGACTCATCCTCATCATCATCATCATCATCATCATCATCATCATCATCATCATCATGAGTATCAGCACCATCACCATCACCATCATCACCATCAGGACCATTATACTCATAATCATACTAAAAAATAATCATCCTCGGCATCGTTCAATCATCATCATCATTCGTATTATCATTATCAAACGTGCAGTTGCTAGTCTTCCTCTCCATCTTTTTCGTCTCATCAGTTCTTGATATTGATAGTGATAATTTTCATTATCATTTGTACGCTGACCACTATTAACATCATTACCAGGATCATTATCATCATCGCCACTATTATGTTCTATTATGTTGTACTTCGTTTCATGAACGATCTTCGTATTTTTCAATTGTGCCATTATGATGCCATTATCAATGTTCTTGTGATGAATATTCTCATGGTCATTTGCATTATCATTATCAACATATTAGTAGTGCTCTTCTTCTTCTTGTTCTTCTTCTTACTAGTGTCCCTAGTCTTACTAATCTTATAATTATTGCTATTATCGAAGACGCCTACGGCGAATCACCGCCGCCCCCTGCATGTTTGAGTCGCCCATGTGGCCGAGCGTTGTGGCAAGAGCTCTGCCAAGCTATCGGGCCATGCTTCCCCCAGCCGTTGTGGAAACCCTTCGGGGAACACTTGGGGGAGGACGGCGGGGAAAATCAGGAGTCTGTAGTCGGAGCACCTGGCACACGACAAAGCGCAATCTTTTCAATCTACCTTGTTGAGCAATACAATCGCGGCACGGCTGGAGTGTACGTTTGATAGCGACTCCGTGCTGTTTGAGGCCGCGACATTGCCTTAGCAAGAGCCTGCGCTCGAGTGAAACGGCTGCCCCATGAACTGTCCTGTCCGTTCTCTGTCCGCCCGTTGCCTGCATCCCGCCCTAGTTGAAGCAACGCTCCGCACTTGCCCTGTCGTCCTGCTCGGGCCGAGCCGGGAATTCCAGGGGGTCCGAGGTGAGAGGGAATTCGAGTGGGTACGGGAACCTGACGGGATACGAGGTTGTTGGACGGGCCAGAGGGCATCTTGGCAGCCTCTCTGGGCACTCTTGGTGCCTTCTGGGAGCTTCCAGGGAGCCTCGAGGCATCTTGGGGGCCTCATTGGGCCTCTTGGGGGCTTTGGGGGGCTTCTCGGGGGTCTTGATGGCCTCCTGGCCCGTCTGACGCCGTCTGAAACCGTCTTGGGGGCCTCTTTGGGCAGACTTGGGGCCCTCTTGTCGTGCTCCAGGGCCATCTTAGAGGCCATCTTGGGCGTCGTGGAGGCCTCTTGGGCCGTCTTGGGGCCCTCTTGGGGCCGTCTGGGAGGCCTCTTGGGCCGTTCTGGGGCCATCTTGGCCTCTTGGGCGATCTTGGGGCGGTCCCCGCCGCCCCCTTACTCTTGTCCGCAACTGCGGGGTGCTACGTATTATTTTCACCCAGGGAATGGGACGGATTTTGCATCCTGGTGCCCTCTTGGGGGCGTCTTGGAGCGTCTTCGAGGCCTCGTGGGCCGTCCAGGGGCGCTCTTGACAGTCTTGCGCGCTTGGTGGGGGGCTCCGCGAAGTTCTCCGGGTCGTTTCGGGCATTGCAACCGCCCGGGAGGCCCTTGCGGAACCCCCAGGCAGCGCCCGAGAGCGCCCAGCCTTTAAGAAACTACCATCCTGGCTGCAGTTGTTGTTGTTGAACATTATTACTTCTAAAGAATAATTATTG